AGAAGTTTTCAGATCAGTGTCTTTCCAGATGAACTGGGATATTTACCTGCATTGTTACAGGTATAATAAGTTAATATTTGAAGGATTTAATGATAAAGGCATGATCTGACTGGAAAAAAATATCATCTCTATTTTTATTATTGAAATTTAAGGTCGTGACCTCAGAATCATCCCAATAAATGAAACATCCTTAACAGGCACTGATATTTTCACGTACTCTATAGAAAAGGAAGCATAAAGAGAAAGAAAAATCACCAGGTGTCATAGGTGTTTGCATTATATCGTGGATGCTTTAATTGCACTGTTCCTGCTTATACATCATGTGTTTGTGTAGATTGAAAGTGTTCACACTGCACGGTACTTTGTGAAACACATTTTAAGCACAGGGAATTCTTTAAATGTTAGTGGGCAGAATTATTTCATTGTCTTGATCATGCCCAGAACTTTAAAAATAGCCCTTTAAATTTAACTCCACCTCAGTTACACATTAACATTGAACAGTCAATTGACAGCTGTCCCTGTTTCCAGTAGTGAGATGAGCCCATAAAATGGATTTGAAAGCATGGAAGCACTGGTCACGCATCCAAATTCAGCAGAGACCCTTCTTAGCCATATTGAACGAATTATAGACCCACCCATAAACAGTCCATTTGAGTTCTGTGGGAGCTGGACTGGGACATTAGTATTTCACACTAACATTTTAGGTCCTTATCTTTAAGTTGGTCAGTGCTCAGGTACAAGAATCTGCTTGCTGAATCAAAGCCTTGACTCTGAAATTCTGTCTTGGAGATGTAGCTGTATCTCCGCCATACCCTTTCTTCTATTAAATGGGATGTAAGCGACTAGTCAACTACCCGATAAGCCTAAGCTTATTGTGTGTTGAGTCGCTACTCAACTTGTTGCTCCCCCCCTTGCTACTTCTTTATCAGAGGCAGGAGCCAGTGCTGGGGGGAGCTGGCTTAAAAGCTTCCCAGCACCGTCTCCACAGGGGAGGCAGAGGTGCAGTGGTGGGAAACAGCGCACGGCGCAAGCCGGGACTCAGCTGTCCCAGCTCACTCGGGGTTCTAGACACTGGCTCTGCTTTTGAAATGTAGTAAGAGCCACCACTGACTACTCGATTGGCTTCTTAACCACTGTTTAACATCCCTAATGTGAACGGTCAACTGGTAAACATTACCCTTACTGAGTGATGCTTACTGGTTATCGTTAACCCGCTAGGGCCTGTTGCAGGCAGAGGAACTCCAGCGTGGCCATCTGTGGCGGTTAACATAACATTTTAACTGGTTAACCAATTAAACGGGATATTACATCCCTAGTTACCATGTCATTCCAATGCATGCCCGTGACTCCCAATACCTATGCATCTGTACATCTGCATCAAGTACCAATATACCTCTGTATTAGATGTACACAGGAGTTAACCTTTAATTCCGTTCTTATTTTAAGGATGATTAACACTAAACCAGTGGGTCACTATGGAGTCAGGAGCCTGTTTCTCTTCTTATACAATCTGTTTTGCTTTGGGGGAATTAACGAGCCTGTTTCTCTGCGGCACACAGCTATTGATTTTCTGGAGAAGATCCTGACATTTAACCCCAGGGATCGATTAACTGCAGAGATGGGTTTGCAGCATCCGTACATGAGCCCCTACTCCTGTCCTGAAGATGAACCGATTTCTCAGCATCCATTCCGGATCGAGGATGAGATTGATGATATTTTACTGATGGAAGCCAACCAGAGCCAGATGTCCAACTGGGACAGGTGCAGTATCCATAGCTTAGCAGGGTAGGCAGTCATGAACTCCCACTGACTTCATGTGGCGTTTCTCTGAACCATTGTTATACGAATCAGTAATACGTGCTCTAAAACCAGGAAGGACAGTGGTTGTTTATTTTACAGATCTAGCCCATATGTGGTCCCACTAACATCAATGAGAATTTTGTCATTGATTTCCAGTGGGACCAAGCGTAGTCTGTGTGTGTGCATTACTAGGGTGTATTCTGCTCTTTTACAGGAGTGGAATTATATTGGTTTCAGCTAAGTTGCATCTTTTTGAATGAGAAGAATTTAACTCTTTTTTTTTTTTGTGGTCCAAATGCTATAGTACCAGTTTTGGGGCCCTTTGGGACCCTTAAAGATCTGATTAAGAACACTGTATCTGCCACCTTTCAAGCTGCATAAGATCTGGGTCTGTAGCCTGACCTAGCCAAAGGCTGGTTTGCTACAGAGCTCCAAACTGGCAACAAGCTCACAGTTTTGCAGCTATGAAATGCGGCGCTCCCCATCTCTTGTGCTTTGCATCTCCCAGTCATTTCCCTTTCTAGGGGTGGGATGTGCAGTCTGACTGGTTGCTACAGGTGGGTGGAGGGTGAGGGGGCATGGAATGGGTCTCGGCCTGGCATAGGGACCCTGTTTTTAAGCAACTAAGAATTTAGCTGGGAATAAGGTTAAGAACATAAGAACGGCCATGCTGGATCAGATCAATGGTCCATCTAGCCCAGTATCCCGTCTGCCAACAGTGGCCAATACCAGATGCCCCAGAGTGAGGGAACACAACAGGTAATCCTCACGTGATCCCTCCCCTGTCACCTATTTTCAGACCAACTGAGGCTAGGGATACCATTCCTACCCATCCTGACTAATACCCATTGATGGACCTAACCTCCACAAATCTATCTAGCTCTTTTTTTAACCCTGTTAAAGTCCTAGCCTTCACCACATCCTCTGGCAAGGAGTTCCAGAGGTTATCTGTTCACTGAGTGAAGAAAAACCTCCTTTTGTTTGTTTTAAACCTGCCAATTCGCTCACCAAATATTAAGGGCACATAGATGATGGCAGAATAGTTCCTCTAGAATGGAGCTGCATGCCAGGGAAATCCTAGTACTTTTGCGTTGCGGATAATTAAAACTTCTTCCCAAGATATTTGACATTTTCTCAGCTGACAATTAACTTGCCCTCTCTGAGCTCATTACAGGATTTACGGGGCATACTCCCAAAGAGCTCAGTTTACATGCAGATATTGATAACGGTCTAGCACTCTGGAGACAGTAGAAATGACACTGGGGTGGGAGGTTGTAATTGTGGCGCTTTCAAGGGTCTTTCAGTTTTAGAAGTTTGTATGTCCAGACCAGGTCCAATGCATGTAAATATCAGTTTTGTCTAATTGCTCCAGAACGTGACTGGTACATACCTATTTGCTTCACACAATTGTGGAGAAGACTTTTGCTGCACTTACAATTGGCTCCTAGAACCATTGGGTTAGGAGGGTCAGGTAGTCTAGCCTCCTGCCATGATGCAGGGTTGTTTGAGTCTGAACTCTCCAAAACAGATGGCTATCCAGCCTCCTTCTGAAAACCTCCAGTGAAGGAGAATCTATAGCTTCCCTAGGTAGAAACAGGCTTTCTCAGAACACAGCCGATGCAAGTCAATGCAAGGCAAACTAAGGTAATGGTCGATTTGGGACCAGATTAATAAAGAATTAAAGAAGGGTAATATAGTTAATATAGGATAATATAAGACAGATGGAGGCATCCAACTGCTGACTTGACATGATGTCCCAGGAGATGTGCTGCCTGGTTGGAGCCTGCAGCCAAACCATCACAGAAGGGTTGCCAAATCTTATTTCTCCTTCTGACCCCTGCCGAATGCTGCTCATTCAGAGATACTGCCAGGTCTGACCCTAAGCAGATCAGCAGTGACTCTAGGGTTTTGGAAGTGAAGGTGAAGGAATCAGGAGTGCAGCCTGTGTTCTTATCCATCCTCCCCCCAAAGGACGGTCAAGTCAATCGGATTGAAGAAAACAAAGCTGTTATGGATTAAATTTTCAGATGACCCAACAACTGAGGGAGTGGTAAATTACAAAGAGGTCAGGCCACTGATACACATTTTTGTGGGTTCCTTGGTAATCTGGGCAAAAGCAAACAATATAGAGGAGTTGAAGCTAGATGAAGTAAGGTGCACATTTTTAACAATAAGTGTAATTAAACATTACAGCAACTTATCAAGGGCTGAGGTGAGTTTGCATCACTGGAAATCTTTACATCAAAATTTGATTTTTTTCTAAAAAGGGCGTTCTTGATCAAACAGGAATTAATTCAGGGGAGTCATGTGGCCTGTGCTATGTAGGAGGTCAGATTAGTTAGTGCAGTGGTCTCTTCTGGACTTGTAACCCATAAATCTGAGATGCCCATTGGCCACAAAATCTTTATCAGTTACTTTTCTGCAGAACATTCAGCCTTAAGATTGGTGCTGCAGTCCCCTTTTAATGTACACCATTAAGGTGAACAATCATTATTTACAAAACCATACAAATTACCATGACCTCATCATCTAGTATATATGTGAGAGAAGCTTCAGGGGATAGCCAAGTTAGTCTGTTATGGAAAAAAAAACAATAAATGGTCTGGTAGCACTTTGTAGACTAACAAAACATGTAGATGGTATCATGAGCATTCATGGGCACAGCCCACTTCTTCAGATGACCGGAATTATTGCATCGACTATTTGATTAGCCCATTAATCTAAATTAACATCCCTAGTCCTTATCCCTAGAGCAATAATTCAAATGAAGCATGTACATTTTCGTTTTCTTTTCTAAAAGCCAAAAATTAATTGATTAAGGTCCGGAGCAATACCAGGTAAATCTTCTAGTAATACATGAAATGACTTTGATCTTTTGGCTTGCATAGTAAAAGTACTTATTCTGTTAATAGTGTACTATTATAACATAATTATCTCAGCTTCTCGATGATAGAGGCATTTTTAGTCACAAATGGGATGGGACTATGGTATGTGTTCTACATTATTTTATTTCTCCATTATATTTTGACAAAGTTGTAGCTAACAGGGTTTGAGCGTGGCTTCTTCTAACCATAAGAAAAGGGCTATTTCATTCTGGGAACTATACTCGCTAACCTATGATGTAGATCTGGGTGGGCAATAATTTTTAATGGGGGGCAGGATTTTGGCAAGTGGTCAGGGACCACATTTCTACCGAGGGGGCTTGGGTCTGGGACAGAGATTGGGTGCGGAAGGGAGCTTGGGGTAGGAAACTGGGAGGAGGATGTGGGTATGGAGTCTGAGAGGGAGTTTGAGAGAAGGAGGGGGTTGTGAAGGAGGGGATTGTGGTCTGGGGCAGAGGCTTAGGGTGCAGAGTCCAGAGGGAGTATGGGTGCGGGAGAGGATTTTGTTCTGAGGGAGGGGCTCTAGAAAAGAGTGCAGAGTCTGGGAGGGAGTTGTGACCTGTGTGAAGGGGGTGCTAAGGGTTTGGGTGATGGCTTGGGCCAGGGGAATGGGGTGCAGGGTCAGGGAGAGAGTATGGGTGCCAGAGAGGATTCTGGCCTGGGGGAAGGGTGTAGGAGAGGGTGCAGGGTCTGGGAGGGAGTTGTGACCTGGAGGAAAGAGGAACAGAGAGTTTGGGTGGTGTCCTGGGGCACGTCGTTGGGGGAGGGAATGGGGGTGCCAGAGGCAGGCTCTGGCTGGGAGGCGTTTACCTAGGCAGCTCCCAGTTAGAAGCCCTGCAGGAATCTGAAGGCTGCAGTGACAAGCTGCTCCATGTGGCTCTGCTCTGAACAGGGTGAAGGAGTGGAGGGCAAGGGAGAAGGAGGAGGCTTCATTGGCTATCCCTGCCGCCAGCAAAATATCTCAGCTGCTTTTGGTCAGAAACTGGCCGATGAGAGCTGAGAGATTTTGCCGAGGGGTGGGACAGAGTATAAAGCCTCCCTCCTGGCTCCCAGAATAAAGCAGTCACTTTTAAAGTGGCTGCTGCTGTGCCGTGCTTAAGGGTTCCAGCGAGGCAACCGTGGGCCAGATCCAGTGGCAGCCTCTTGCCCACCTCTGCAACAGCTGATCCTACAAGGCAGTCATTAAAATAGCTTCTCCATGGTTCTCAGACAAACCATCCGTGTCTACAAAGGTCAGAGAAATTGCTCTAGAACCCTACCAACAATAATCATGTTTAAATAATTCTGCTGCTGAGCAATTTACTGTTTCTCTGTGTATCCGTCAGCACATTTTTTTGAAACAATAAATCGCCATACTCTGTGCTGGATATTACATATACAGCCTACTAGCAGATTTACCCAGAATTGCTTGGGTCCTTAACCCAATTAATTTTTGTTTGACAGACTCTCTCAAATATATAGTAGCTATTTCCAGAATGAAACCCTACAGTTTGGAGAAGATTCATCTTGTGTGTTATCTTTGCAGAGTAGTGCTGCTAAGCTGCTGAGTGTCCCAAAGATTAATTATCTTTTCATGGAGTTTCATAGACTCTTGTTCTCCAGGAGTAAGAGTTTGTCAAGTCAAATGATGTCTCAATCCCTTGGTTGTTATTAACCCTTTTAAATTTTGAGGCTATAAAAGCTATCCAAGTGAGGCTCAGACTTAAAATTCATCACTGACGTAATTTTTCTCCTGAGACATAATTTACCTTCCATTCTGTCCTGAGGGAAATAGCAGTAGATGAGATGAACAAGACAATTGAATTAATTGCAAGGCTCCTTCAAAATGTCATCTTTACTAAACAAGGCATTTGCTTATGAGGCAGCAGCTGATTCAATACCCTCTTTCATTGTTTCTGCTATTTCAAAATTCTGCTAGCTTTGTCTTGTGATGCTTCGGACTGAAAATAAATCAGAATGATTTGTTTTTACAATGTGGACAAAGGACACAGGAGGATAGTGTAATTGTGCCTAGGAAGCTATTCTTTTTTTACAACAGTGCTTTTTAGTTGGTAGCGGTGTAATATAAAAGCTGGTATGAAAAAGTCAACTTGTGCCTGGTGT